TTGTTTTACTTTCTTTAAGTGCTTTTTGAGTGATCTGTTCTTAATTGCCTATTATCTGCAACCACATTATGTGTTCTGTCTTATTATATTGTATTAATTTGGATCTGTTAAAAATTGATATGTAGGGTATTGGCATACCGGGCTGAATCCATCTTCCAAGCAACCTCTCGGAAAGTGGAAAGATAGTACAGATCGTGATTTGATGCTTGCAGGAGACTAGACAGCAATGCTCTGATCTGCGACTGTGAGATGATGTGGTTGGTCCAGATGCTGCAGGAAAAGCTGAGGGGGACGCAGGCAGCGGCCACCTGCCAGTATCCTGTCGTGATGCAGGGCAAGTCCCTTACTGCCATGACAGAAACAGATTTCCACTGCAGTAAGTGTGACAGGAACTCTTGTATTCCTATCTTTACAGTACGCATGCAATTTGCGTCCTACCTAAGTACATAACTGTATTTACTCATGTAAATTTCTGTTATGTTAAATATTTGTTCTTCTTCAGAACTTGAAGAGGAAATTAAAAGGTTTTTACTATCTTTCTGTAGTGTTACATTTAACAAGATATGAACACACTGCTTTACTTACTGTAAAATTCAAATTTTTTCTCAAACATTTAGATACGTACTCAAGTTTAACTTCAAATTTTATGTACAGAAAAACCGAAGATTACAGAAGATCCTCACGATGTGGAAGTGACATTTGGTGGGACAGTTTTCTTCACATGCAAGGCTGAGGGTGACCCAGTTCCAGATATTGTTTGGATGAGAGACAGGTGCAAAGACAAGCCTTTATGTTAAAAAAATAGAATTGTAATAAATGATCGCAGGGAACTAAGAAGCATAAGTATGTGTGTAATATTTTCAGATATATTTTTGAGTCTGATATATGTAAATAAATTGTGTCATGAACTACACAAAATAACTTTTGATCAAAGAACAAATTAGTCAGTCTGAGTAATTGATTAATTGTGGGAGCTAGTGTAGAAATAGATATTATTTTTCTTCAGCAATGAAATCAACATGGGTGACCCACGCTACTCAAAGCTTGCTGATGGCACACTGATGATCGAGAATACACTAGACTCTGATATGGGTGTGTATGAGTGCATGGCCAAGAGCCCAGCTGGTGAAGCCAAGTCTCGAGCTGCCAAGATGCACTACCAAAAAACAAAAGGTGAGTTATAAGTTTCACCTTCCTTTACTGGTCATACTTTCGTACTGAAGCGAGGTTTTTGCCTTATCCCGCATTGTTATCTCCATAATTCTATACATCCAGGTACTCTAAAAAAAGCTACATAAAATTGATCTGTAACACATTTTAACTAGTGATTCCTCATAAATAATTGGTAGTTCTGCTATTCTAAGAAAAACTGAATTCCATTATATATTACCTTAACTTTCGTATATGAAATTAAAAATGGATTCTGAAGGGTTCTGACAATTGTGTAACACAATCTTGATTGGTAGAATTTCGGACCAGTAATTGGCATTAGCCCATTCTAATGGATCCCACAGAGTAGGTGCCCCTTTCCCTGCACCGAAGACGAGGACAGATCCAGTCCTTGAAACGTCATGTGTTTTGTAACATCAGATGATGGAGAAGGTCAAAAAACCCAACAACCGAGAAATTAAAAGTGTTTCAGAAATTTTCCGTAGATGTATTGGACTTCTGTTACGAGACTCGATGGCACAATCCAACTCTTGTTGTTTTTAATTTGTAGAGAAGCCACAATTTCGCCGAACTCCACTAGACCAAGAAGTGGAACAGGGCTCTACTGTCCGGCTGTACTGTGCGGCACTAGGACAGCCTCACCCAGACATCACCTGGTCTCATGATGATATTCCTATTGTGTCCGGGGACAGGTTCGAGGTCGGTGTGTTCTTCCATGTTTGCCCATTGCAGCATTTATCATCAACTTTGTAATAACATCGCATAATTATCTGTTGGATGAAACCAATATACCAGCTATTAATACCAAAAATTGAAATTATTAATAAAGGTGTTATTTTATCTTTAATACACAGGCATTTAACAACTGCCTTGACAAAATTGGTCTTAAATATTTTTGAATTTCATTCTGTGTCAATGCCACTGATATTGTGAGAATAATTAATTGCAGTAAGTCACTGCCGTAACTTCAGATTTTACCCACAGATGTGATGGAAGTACAAACTTCAGATTTATTATGAAATAAGATGGTAAGCAGAAAAGTAGTCTGTCTCAGTTGGAAGAGGGCGTGAGTTTCTCAGATGAAGCACACACTGTTTTCCATTGTGCAGATCTCAAGTGACAACACTCTCACGATTACCGATGTCCAGAGGGAGGATGCCGGACATTACAAGTGCTCTGCTGCCAACTTTGTGGGTCGTATCACGTCTGTGGCCAATGTTAAAGTGAATGGTAAGTAGACGGTTTTGCAGAGTTGTTTTGACTAGTACCAAAGAATGACTGTAGAATAAATCACATAAAAGTGGAATTTGCACGAGGGTGAATGTCTTAAGAGGCACAGCTAACCCTTTGAATTGCACAGAGAATAAATGTGTAATCATTTATTAAACTATACAACACTTGGTCCATATAAGAACAAGATCAAATATTGAGATTTGAAGTTTTCACTGTGGTGAGGATGATGATGTTCCTTTGGGTTTTGGCATCAGGTAGACTCATCTGTAGATGCCAGTGTTTTAGAGGAACATACTGTCCCCTTCTTCAGGGCTGATGCTGGGAAGTGGAGAGATTAAATCCTACTGGTCTATACAACACCAAACTGCAGAAGAACATTACCATAGCCACTAGAAAATATTTTTTATTCAAATTACACTTACTCGAGATTTTGAACACTCAGTATACTATTCAGTTACTAGAATGGATCACCTTCGACTGACATAGTAGTACTCTAAGCACAAGAATTTTAATGTAGACTGAAAATATGTTTGAGCACGTGACTGTAGAAGAAAATGTGTTAACTACCAGCTTTCGTAATCATTCACATGTCTGTTTTGTTTTAGTATGGAGTCAGAAAATGCTGTCTGTCTTGTTGATGTGTGTGAAGGGAGTCTGGTTAATGAATCATAGATCTAATCTTACAGTAGCTGTTGATGTAGCAAAAAACATGACTTCCTGTATAATTTTCTTTTGTCCCTAAAGTAATAACTGCTTATTTATCTCCATTTGCTGCTGTAGAGTCACTTTCAAAAGGTAACTGCACACTTTTCATTGCATGTTGTAGTTGTGACCATGTTTTTTTTTGTAGCACAGTTTAACACATATTTATAATTAAATACATAAAATCTAAGTACAGGCCTTTATTTCACGTATCCGCCATATTGTAATTTACAACAGAAATAGAATTTTTTTCTTTGTTTCCATTCGTCATAGTTGTTGTACTGGTTCTGCATCTATCTCAAAGTCTGTGTTATTGCTATTTTTTGTCGTTACTGATGGAAGGGTTTATAAAAAAAAAGTTTCGTCAATTTAGTCCTTACTACCAGTTTTCAGTGTTAGTTCCCATCGTGCATGGATTAATAAGGACAGGTGTATAGATTGTTATGATTATCCCTCAAGATTATCATTTTCTTTGTTTCAAAGAATAAGACTAAGAATTTTGAGATTTATGTATACACATTTGAATTTGGGGGAATTAGGGGTATTATAAAAAAGGACTGTGTAATCAGATGTTTGGGTTCCGTGGTACTGATAGTGAGGCACGAAATTTGATGGCAGTACCAAAGGCTTATCCTATCCAGTAACACAAAAAACTATGTAAGTTAGTAACATGGTTGTAACAAGGTGATATTTTGACAGTTGTTCCAAGTTTCACCACACACCCAGAAAACTTGACGCTGAAGAGTGGAGGTCTTGCTGAACTGCAGTGTGCAGCAGATGGTACTCCGGCTCCGACAATCACTTGGTTTAAAGATGGCCACAGGATTGTTCCAGGAGGTCGGAACAGTTTCTCATCCACAGGTCTGCACATGTGACACATATCCAGTATATATAACAAATATGCACTATTGATCATGCTGGAGTAACTTTCATTTGTCATTTGTAAATTGACATACTGTTCCAGAAGATGCAAGTATTATGGCAGAATTGTGATCGACAAGTATCTCTCCCCATTGCAGGGCAGCAGCTGTACATCCAGCATGCGAAGGAGTCAGACTCTGGGCTGTACACCTGCCGAGCACAGAACAGTGTAGGGTTCAAGGAGACAAGTGCACATCTTGTAGTCAGTGGGGTCCACCGAGACACCAGCACGCAGTACTTCGCTCAGAGGGATGGACCAGTACCAAGACTGGTGATTACACCATACAACATGGATGCACCAAGTGGGAGTACCATTGAGATACCATGTAAAGCAGAAGGCGACCCTAAGCCAACCATAACATGGACCAAGGATGGTGCAACTCTTTTACTCACCAAGAGACACAGGTGAGGTTCTCTCATCTGGCTCTTGTAGTTTTTACCTGTGCGTGTCATCCCCTCTCCAATTTTGAAGGTAAAATGTTATGTAAGATTTGAGGTTTTCACAGCTGTGAGTATGAAGATTTCTGTCTTCTGGGTTGTTGTGCTGTGTAGTCTGGTCGATGTTAACCAACGTTTCAGAGGTTATACTGCCTCCGTCATCAGGGCGATGATATAATATCACAGTATGACCTCTGAAACGTTGGTTAACATCGACCAGCCTACACAGCGCAACAACCCAGAAGACCGAACATATGACCTCTGAAACGTTGGTTAACATCGACCAGCCTACACAGCGCAACAACCCAGAAGACAGAAATCTTCGGTGAAATGTTAGTTTCAATCACTGGGTCCCCATGGTTAAAACACCATTCTGTAACCATTCACCACTAAGACTTGCCTCGAACAGTCTCACATTGGATGAATTTATATTATTTAATATATTTCACTATTCATATTATATATTTATATAAAAAGACTTGAAAATTTCATACCGATAAAGAAATTGATCATGTGGAAGGAGAATTGTGACCAAATTTATAAGGCATTATTTTTGCTGGTGTATGAAGAAATTGTACCATTTGAAAGTGTATAATAACATTGACTGATGATGTGATTTATTTATTCTTTCCTTCAGAATTTCATCAGTGGGAAGTCTGTACATATCCAACATCTCTCAAGAAGATGCAGGCACATACGAATGCTCGGTTGTCAATAGCAATGGGAGAACAAGAGCTCATGGAAACTTAAGAGTTAAAGGCATGTTTATTTAGTATATGTATTTCAGTAGCATATATTGGTTTGTGTGTTCACAATGCACTGAGGAGATGATTGTTTTCTTACAGAGGAATCCATGATGGGCCCTGGCGATAGATTCGTTCACATAGCATTTCAAGAGGCCAGCAAAGCTGTTGACAGAGCAGTCAATGATACGCTGACCAAGCTGTTTACCCGTGATCGAGGGGCCAAGAACTCATCACCTAACGAACTATTCAGACTACTGCGCTTTCCAAATGCCGCAGCTCGAAATGTGGCAAGAGCAGCTGATATTTACGAGAGAACGCTAATTAACGTTAGGAAACATGTTGAGGCGGGCATGAACATAAACTTAACTACAGGTATGTTGCATAGCTAGCACCACTGATAAATTTTACACCAAGGTTGATGTTATGTTCCAGTGTTGTAGATACCAATATGATACTGGACTAATTAAATTTTTACCATAGTCTAAGGTAGAACATTTTGTGATTATAATGGTTAGCCAGTCAAATCTGAGACATTTTGACTGAAGAAAAATGTAGCTTAGGTGGAAGAGACAAACTGTTTACCGCATCTATGAAAATTACTATTTTACCACTATAGCACCTTTCTTTGTTTTGGTTATGCTTTGTTGAAGATTACCAATTTTTTCTCTTTTCCTCTCCCTTTTGTGGTTTTAATGATGTGATTGGCTGAGTGATGAGGAAAAGAACATCATGAGGTACGAAGTCAATTGCTGTGCCCTCATACCTGATAAATAAGTGTGTGGAACCATGTTGCAAAAAAATAGAGGTCCTTTGAAGGTACATATATCGATTAAAAAATTATTTTATGTCCTATTGCATAATTTTTTGATTGCAAGTGGTTGTGTTGTCTGATTTTAATGGTACACAAAGGTGTTCATTATTATATTTAAATAAACATGTTTAGACATGTCTGCACTCTGAAATGTGCTGCTGTTTTACCAGTCCATTAATCAGAAAAATTTGGGAACTGCATTAGCATATTCTGCATGAAATACGCGGGTCATAGTATATTTCAGTCAAAAGTTATTGTCCTGGACAAGATAGAATTGTGCTTTCAGGTATTTATTTTTAGAGACCATGGCTATTGATAGACTTCACATTTACTTTCATAGCAGCTTTGCAAAACTTGACATTTGTTTGAGGATGAAACAATAGCGTATTACGCAGTATATTATGTTAATGTCCATATTTCTCCTGTATGTTTTAAATAAGGTACTTACATCAGCACTTCTTCCAGTATGTGATTACTGAATAAACTCTGAGTAGAAACACCGCTTTCTCCACACAGACTTCTCGTACAAGGATCTGCTGTCTCCATCACACCTGGAGCTGGTGGCCAACCTGTCAGGCTGTATGATGCATCGTCCACACACCAACTGTTCTGACATGTGCTTCCATGGAAAATACCGCTCCATTGATGGGACATGCAACAATCTTAATCATCCCATGTGGGGTGCGTCCCTCACAGGTTTTCGCCGGGTTCTGAAACCCATCTATGAGAATGGCTTCAGCATGCCAATTGGTAAGTACAGGCAAGATTTCTGATATTATTCATGGTTCTCTTCTGTGGTTCTTTATGTTCTGTCCGCAGTCATCATTTGATATGTACCAAAACAAAATACATTGTACTTGTATCAGGGGTATGTAGTATAGTCTGTAGGTGGTTACCAATGATGGTTCAATATTAATGCCTTAGAATAATGTCCCCCTTGTCTATTCATTCTACCCTCATTTACTCCTTGTGAATGCGAGGATAGTACCATGACCGCTTCTTACCCATTCCTTTCCAGTTCTACATACATAATAATCATATCATTTCATAAATAGTATAACTCTGCATTTGATATTGATAACAGCATTTCCAAATAATCCAAACTGACTTACATATAAGAGTTCACAACATTGGTCCTAAAACTCCTTAAAACAATGCATCTTCTTATAGGTGTTTTATTATTTTGGACACAAATCAAAGTAAATGCTTATGTTTGTAATCTGTTGCGTACTTTTGTCTGTTTCATTTAGGTTCAGAATAAATTTTAACCTCATTGCAGGTTGGAAGAAGACCATGAAGTACTATGGCTTCCACAAGCCAAGTGCTCGGTTGGTGTCAACACGAGTGATCAGCACAAAGGAGGTGTCACCTGATGAACGGCTAACTCACATGGTGATGCAGTGGGGTCAGTTCTTGGATCATGATCTGGATCATGCCATTCCATCTGTCAGCAGTGAGAGTTGGGATGGTATCGATTGCAAGAGGTGGGTTTCCTTTACGGTGACGTATCCATGGTAGAGTCCACAAACTTGCAGTTTGTGCTGTAGTTACTCATTTCTTTAGTTTGTTTAAACATGTAGCTAGCATGTGCAGATTTAGAACAAAGGAATATCCTTGTAAAATTAGAATGCAGTATATAAGACATCTGTTTGTTATTAACTGAATCAGATTGAATACCCTACATGATGAATCAAAGTTTCAAACAAGATATCAGTAGTGAATTTTGTACAAACTTTGAAAGTGTCACTGTATTATTACGTCGTATAGATCATGAGACCAACAGATACTAAATGCAGGACTCAGAATGTTAATATGGCTGCTTCAGATCTTGTGAATATGCAGCTCCCTGCTATCCCATTGAGGTTCCACCAAATGATCCAAGAGTCACAAACCGTCGCTGTATTGACTTCTTCCGAAGCAGTGCTATCTGTGGATCGGGCCAGACTTCTGTGTTCTTTGATACTGTGATGCCACGGGAACAAATCAACCAGCTGACATCCTACATTGATGCCTCACAGGTATGAATATATTCAATAAGATAAAGGATCTTTCTGTACTCTGTTGTAGTTCTTTTATCATTGTATTTAAATTATCTGTCTAGTGCTCACAAAATATGTTACCCTTATCATAATTTTCTGAGAGTTTTGTAAAACCATCCGTCAGTCAAAATGTACATTGAATTTTGTATTAGATATTTATTTGCTACCACTTAGTTCAGAATATTTGACTTTTCTATTTCCTATCTAAAACCAATTTTCTTGCTGCCTTTCTTAGTTGGCAGTAAAGTTTTATTGTGGTATCAGTAACTTTTGTCTTTCAGTACATTAACAAGAGCTGGGAAGAGCTTAATATCTTTTAACCTGTTGACAGGAACAAAATATATTTGGGAACGCACATGAACTTTCATTAAATTAACCTACCAAGCAGCGGGCTTATTGCTCCATCCTACTGGAAGTAATACACAAATATCCTTACACATTCTTAGATGTTTTGAATCCTATTGTGTTCTGAGAATGAAATTGGTCAAATTTCATTTGGGCTTCAAATAATTTGTCAATACTAAACTGTGGCTTGAACATTTTAACTTTTTTGGACCCACAAACAGGTGTATGGATTTTCTGAAGAGGTGGCACGGGATCTACGAGAGTTTCGCAACAACCACGGGTTGCTGCGTGAAGGAATCAGACTGCCCAACCATAAGTCGCTGTTGCCACTTGCCGACAGTCAGCCAAATGATTGCCGGCGAGACCCATTGGAAAGTGATATTGGCTGCTTCCTGGCAGGGGATATCCGGTCGAATGAGCAGCTTGGGCTATTGGCAATGCACACTATCTGGTTCCGGGAGCACAATCGTGTTGCTACCGAACTGCGCCACATTAACCCACATTGGGATGGGGACATGCTGTACCACGAGGCCCGAAAAATTGTGGGTGCAGAGGTAAGATATAAGTTAATCTGTGACAATGGGAAAATGTAAATTAAAGTTGATGAAATTAAACTTACCAAATATCCAATTTTTTTCTCAAATGTGCCTTATTTTTTTCGATGTCTTCACATGACTAAGAGGGAAATGTAGAATGCATTATTGGTGTGCCATGTCTGTTTGTCTGTCTAACTGATTATAAGTCTTATAACGTGTGAAATTTCTGTTACAGTTTTTAGAAATTTTGTAGATGAGACTTACTGAAAGTTTTGTGTGGTTCAGAAATCTGATTTACATGGTGATATATCAGTAGGAAATATCGCACTAAATCAGGAAATCCTATGTGTTATAGATTCAGCATATTACATACAAACAGTGGCTGCCTCTCGTTCTTGGAGGCGAGGGCATAAGCATGTTGGGAGAGTACAAAGGTTATGACCCCACTGTGAACCCCAGCATATCCAATGTGTTTGCAACAGCAGCACTTCGCTTTGGCCACTCCCTCATCAATCCTGTGCTGCAGCGTCTGAACAAAACATTTGGAACTATCCCAGAGGGCGATATCCCTCTTCAGAAGGCATTCTTTTCACCATGGCGTATCGTAGAGGAGGGTGGCGTGGATCCACTTCTCCGAGGGCTGTTTGCAGTACCTGCAAAATTAAAGAAACCCCATCAAATGCTCAACACTGAGCTGACAGAACACTTGTTTGAGGTGGCACATGCTGTCGCATTGGATTTGGCAGCTATCAATATCCAGCGGGGACGAGACCATGGCATACCTGGGTATAATGCATGGAGGACGTTCTGTAATCTCAGTGAGGCACACACATTTGAAGACCTACGTAATGAAATAAGCAGCCAATCACTACGAGATGCTCTGAAGGAGTTATATGGTCACCCAGGTAATATTTGTCTTGGGTAGTAACAGGTAGATTAGGTTAGATCTGACCTAGTAAGGGATAGTTTAAATTTCCTTTTAAGTGTAACTGTAGTGTGCCATGCAGTAGTTGTGTTGATTGTCTTCAAATAAAACTTTGAAGTTTGAGCTATTGACAGTATTGATAGACCACACATGAAATATGGCAGAACCCATATCTGTAGGCATTTTAATGAAAAACAAAAATAATTCTCCTGTTAAATGAATTTATGGTTAGACTTGTGATTCCCCTTTTCAGGTAACTTAGATATCTGGGTTGGTGGTATTCTTGAAGATCAACTGGATGGCGCTAAAATGGGTCCAACATTCAGGTGTCTGTTGGTGGAACAGTTTCGACGTCTGCGTGATGGAGACAGGTCAGTAGGTGTCATGTATTCACCTTCACTTGGAATATGGTAACAGATGGTGTTGGTAATATTGAAGACAAAGTTGAAAAGTATGAAAACTGAGTAAACTCCAGTTTATAAACGTGTCCCTTAATGCCTGACAATTCCCATGGGTAAAATACATGCAACTCATTCATTAATATGGTTCTAAAGAAGGTTCTCTGTTGCTTTGGTCCCAAGGATTGAATGCAGAGATCTGAGATTTTTACATCAGTGAAAATTTGAAAAGTGGCCCTGTGGTTTGTGACACGTTGCAATCTTATAGGTGGTTGTCAGTGTTTTTGAGGAATTTATCTTCAGGGTAGAAGAGAAAAACAAAGATGATCCTCCTTTGTAAATTAGTTGCCGTCATAGGCAGTGATTATTTGGTGTTCATGTTTTGTAGATTTTGGTATGAGAACCCGTCAGTGTTCAAACCAGAACAGCTGACGCAGATCAAGCAGGTGTCACTGGGACGTGTCCTTTGTGACAATGGAGATGACATCAGTGATGTGACGAAGGATGTGTTTATTCTGCCGAAGAAACAATCTCCAGCCTTCGTGCCCTGCGGCGATTTGCCACAGATAGATCTCCGATTCTGGACTGAGTGCTGCCATGGTACGTTTATTGGAGCTATATGATAGCAAATTAACTGGTTTTCACATATCAGGTTTGATGTAATTAAACAGGGTGGCGCAGAAGATGGCTGCCTTCTGTGTTGTTGTGCCATGTAGTCTGGTAGAGGTTTGCCGACGTTTCAGAGGTCCTCGCTACCTACATCATCAGGGCGATGATCACCCTGATGATGGAAGCAGCAAGGACCTCTGAAACGTCGGGAAACTTCTACCAGACT